AGCCGAGTTTTTTTCAGAGAATATCCATTGTCATCCCGCTTTCATCATCAGAGATTTATCATCAGGTTGTAGAGAAAGCTATTCAAAAGGCCGATCATAATCCAGGAAGAGCCATGACTAGTGCTTTAAAATACAGGTTCCTTTCAAAGCCCACCACAAAACATCCCGCCATCTTTGACGATATTACGCGGTAGAATTTCTGTTACCATACATGACGTACCTTCCGAATTAAAGGGAGATTGCTAACTTTTCATCGTCTGTGTCAAAGACGGCAGAGTGCTTTGCGGTGCATTTTAAGGGGCCCATAATATGAAAGGAATAAAATATTTCGACCTAATCTTTTGCTATGATCATTTACTTACCAAAACCAACATTTGTGCCAAGTTTGAACGAAATCGGTGATTTGTGCTGTATCACCTCCTGCTTGGTTGTGCCTGCTTTTCTCATGGACACACTAGGTTTTAATAGCACTTCTCACTACTCTATTTTATACGTTGTGACCTGATATTAAATATTGATATTATTCTAGAGTCTGCTTTGTTTTGCGTAAACTAATGGAAGGGCTTCAATTTCCTGATGTAACAAAATGGAATTTCTAAATAGATGAATAATAATAATAATGATAAAAATAGTATCTTCTAAGATTTTACGTAATTGCTGAGCAAACTGCACAAATCATACTTAATTCCAGAACGAAATAGCTCTGAGCACATTAGTACTCTTTGACACTGCACATGCCCGGATAAGTTGTTCTCGAGACAAAAGTAACTCTCCCCTCCCCTTCTCATACGAGAGTGACAGGTAACTAAACAGAGTGCTTTTTTATGGATCTTCTGTTCTTTGTTGTGCTCTCAAATTTGCGGTAACTGCTGGTGATGCTTGCCGCGCATTAAACGGAGCCACAATAGACGCGTTAGACGGGAAAAAAAGGCAAAGGCTGTACAGTCTTGCTCGAGTTTGGGTATATTATTACATAATACTAAGAGAGTGTAATCCTGGCAATTCTACAGTGCAGTTACACTTTCACGATCGACTTTTTGGCTCAAAAGAGCTCTCGAAACGTTACTCGTTTCAATACTGACGAACTTTCCCTTACGGAAACCCCTCTAATATGGAAACTTCCCTCGATCCCGGCGAAACTCCGGCCTAAAAATCTCCACAAAGTACCTTCTATATGGATGGCTATTAATACGAACGAACCCTCTCTAACACGGACAACGGTTGCTAAATCTCGGTCATACAGAGGAACTTCCTAACCTATTACGCACAAGCCGGTGATAACTGGATTTCATTGGGAAAATATAACTTAACTCGACTCAGTGAATTCTGAATGCAACAAGCCGTTAATGCAATGAGGCATGAAAAGAGAATTTACATTTTGATAATCGAAATACACGAATTATTTTTCTTCCTTCCTCGTGGTACTGATTTGCTACAAGAATATATTGGAAAAAAAAAGTTGTCTGTGTCTCTATCGAGTTTTAGTATAAATCTACCAGCGTTCTATCACGAATGCCGTTCCCTGATTCGCTATGCTACTCACTAGGTATTCTGTTGTAGATAGTGAGTAGAGTGGCAGTGTGCGGTTGTTAACAAAATGACGGCCGCTTCTT